ATGAAAAGTAGTCTTTTGTTCCTTGTAAATACTTCAAACACTTTCGAAAGCTACAAAAAGCCTCCGAGTTAGTCTTTTGAATACAGACTTCTGTAAAGGGCATAATTGTTTTCTCTCGTGTCTTTTTTAAAACCACAATATATGCAACCCATTTAAATTGCAAACATTTCAAATAGCACCTGTTTCTGATTTCTTCACGTTATTTCCACTCTCAGACGCTCAGCTGAAAGCTGAAAAATGTTTTACACTGAATGAGTGACAAGGGCAGTCAAAAAAAATGGGAATAATTAAGAAAAGAAGTGAGAATATGACATAATATAACCCTTAAAAATCTGGCTGAGGGGCTTTGCAGACCAGTTGGTTATTCAAAAATGCTTCAGTGTCTACCCTGCTTCCTTCTGTAGTGCCTGGTGCACCTCTAGGGAGTGTGGTGTTAGAGTTGGGCATTGCCACCCCTTCAGAAGGACTCCTGGGTTGAAGATCTGGGGACAAGTTATAAAACAGGGACCATGTAAATGCTCTCACCTCACCCAGCTGCCACAGTACAATAACCCTAATGTTCACTGAATCATAGGGGAGACAAAGGACTATTCTAGACATGAGATCTGTGATCAAGTCTCCCATAATCACTCTGAGAGTCAGTTTTATTATCTTTAGAATGGGTATAAATGATTGCCCTTGACAAATCTGCACTGCTGATAAAAACGGGATAATAGTTGTTCTTTTGTGGCTGGCTATCTCCACCAGAATCTAAGATCTTGAAGGAAAGAAACTGCATATTATTATTGATTTCAGAGAGGAAAGGAGAAGGAGAGATAGAAATCAATGATGAGAGAGAATCATTGATCGGCAGCCTCTTGCATGCTCGCACCTGGGGATTGAGCCTGCAACCAGAGCATATGCCCTGACCGATAATTGAACCATGACCTCCTTCCTGGTTCATAGGTCAATGCTTAACTACTGAGCCACGCTGGCCGGGTAGAAATTGCATATGATTCATTTGTTTGAACTTTTTGTTTCCTGCAATGCTAGAACATAATCTGTTCTACATCATCTGTAGACTCAAATAATGAATGGATTATTTCATCAATTTACCCACTGATCTCCAAGTCAAAGTCCAAAATAATGCTTAACATGGAAGTAAATCTACAGAGCGCTCTTCCCACTCCCCCTTCCATCATAGCTGAACTGTGAAGAAAGGTTTGAAGAGGTCTACCCCCATTCAGTTTTAAAAAATATGAGATAAACTGGTTTAGGCATTCTTGGTCCTTCTAGTGAGATAACACCAAAAATGTTTCTCAGCTATATCTTTTGCTCACTTGCTTTCTCATTGCACTGCCTACCGCAAAAGCAATGTTTAAAGATAAGTCGGAACAACAGGAGTGAGAAAGAACCGGAAGCAACTAGGAACATAATTTTTCAAGAAAGAAAACATTTACTTCCTCACAGTCTCCTACGTTGGTTTTAAGTGAAGTTGCAGCAACCAACATCCTAACACTGCCTCACCTTGACACGTCTTTCCGTTGAGCATGAGCTGATAGCCAGGTGGGCAGAGACACTGGTAGCTTCCAAAGGTATTTTTACACTCATGTTGGCAGGTGTCTCTGTTTGCACACTCATCCACATCTGGGGAGAAAGAGAGCAGAGTGGATAACCACGCAAAACCCAGGCGAACTGTGACAGAACCAACAACAAACAGGGCGTTGATAGAAATTAGAAAAACCTCTTGGTGATTTAATACTCATGTGTTTAAAAATGCTCAGAGCTGTTTTCTATCAAGGTCTGTTTTCAATAGAGTCCCATATATAAGCTGCACTATTTTATAAAATATGAACATCTGTGTATAAACACATAGAAACGGAAACCCCTAAACGGCCAATTTCTCTATTAGTTAAGTAAGGCTGGAATGGCAGACAAACAGGTTTGAATAAGATCCTAAACCACCAAAGCATGAACTCTTGACAGAATAGAATCCCCTAAAAGAGGATATTAGTTTTTATTTTATTTTATTTAAACATTAGCTGCCTCTCCCTCTTTCTCTCCCTGCACCCTCCCCCAAAGCTCATGCATTGCTTTCCCACACACAGATATTATCAAGTGGAGATGTGTTTATTTTTGTGACTACTCATCAAACTTCATATACTTGTAAAGTACGAATGGCTACCACGTATCTGTACACACACTTTAACAGCTGATTCTATTGTATTTTGAAAATGAAATGTATTTTAATAAACACTGCCTTTATAATTACTCAAAGTGTGTATACATTTTTTGGACACCCTGCATATATATATATAATTGCTGTGGTACCTTGTGCAGAGAACTTAACTTCTCAAGATCTCAGATAATTTTCCTGCCAAAAGGAGTCACTGATACAATCTCTCTAGTTTATAGGTTTTGGAAGGTTCATATACAGTAACATATGTGAAAGAATTTTCTAAACTATAAAAATATATCTGTCTGCTATTATTAAGCAAAGCCAAGAAAACAGCAATAAAAAGAGAGTAAGAATAGGGGATAATTAAAAATTAATTGATATTTGCCTTCAGGATGAGATGTGATTTGGGAGGCCTCAGATTTCTAGTCCCAATTGTGTTTTGCTTTGAGTAATTTTAAAATTTGCCGACAATCCCCGAGCACACACCAACCAGTGGAAGAATGAAGAGGAGAATGAGACGTGAATTGGGAGTAGGGGTGATGTCAGATGGAAGAGAACAGAAGGCAGATAGAAACTTTGAAATGTCTCAGAGCAAAATTTGCATATTTTGCATATTGTGCAAATCAGAATATAATTGCAATGATTCAAGATCTGTTAATGATAAACAGTCATCAAATATTGGTCAATATTTTTGTTCTATTTTAGTTAACCAAAGCATTTGTTCCAGAACTTGTGTGATTTGCTTTTACTTTTTCCCTTTATAATCTGCTTTCGCCTAAAGTAACAACAGACATGAAAGTGATGGTGAACTCCACATAGTCAATATCACAGGTCCCACAGTAAGAATTCTAGTGATTTCTGTATCCAGAAGCTCTGCAATGTTCCTTTTTCCTGTGAAGCTTTGGAATCAATTCCTCAAAAAGTTAAATTTTAGCCCAAGTCTAATGATTCCATAATGTTAATCTGAATCTTTTGTGAATTATTTATTCCAGATGGTTAATTAAAGGCATTTGGTGTTTACTGCAAGTTGCTCATCTCGTAATTCCAAAGCTGTCTGCAATCTTGCTGTAAATTTCTTTATTAACACCAACACTATAAAATACTCACCATATTTTAAGAACTATTTCTAAATGTCCCCGTCTATTAATTGCCCTTAAATAAAACTTAAATATCCAATAACTGACTCGTTATAGAAAGTTTACTTTAGGTACTCCAAGATCAGTCCTCATTCTGAAACAGTAGCTGCCTCAAACAGTAGATGGTATGGGAAAGATGAATTACTGTAAACATAATATTAGTTTACATAAGGTTATAATAAACACCATGACACAGAAAACATATATAAGACTCTACCATGTTGAAACTACAGGGCACAGACCGTGGTCAAGAAAGAGAACTGGGTTGCTAATGCGGAACACTTTCTTAAAATGATGGACTTTCAGATGATTGAGAAGTCAGCTAGATGGCGATGGTATGTGTATAGGAGGATAGTTTAATTCATTTATCAAAGCATAAACCAAGAGTTGGGGTAGAAGAACAAAGGTAGAAGAGAAAAACTTGTCTAAAATGAAGGCAAAGTATGGGATGATAATAGGATATGAAAACCCTTCAGTGAGATTATCTGGAAGAAAATGTGAAAGACAACATGTCAGATGCTAATTCTGTCAATAAAAGAATAGTGGAAAGTTTTAACTAACGAAGAGTCCGTTCAAAACTGTGGGCATGAAAAATTCTTAATAGTCAGAAAGATTTGGAGCAAGTTAGGAGTGGTGTTTGACATAGTAGTAAGGATTGTGGAGCCCACAGATTAAGTAGTGCTTCACTGTATGGGACGAAATGTAGAGAGTTGTTAATAAATGCATTAATATTTGAAGTTTAAGGAGTAAAAGAAACTAGTCCTGTCCACAGACCTAGGAAGCTGATCACAGGAAAAAGATTCCATATCCTATTAAGCTTCAGGTACATTAGGACATCTAGACAGAGAAGTCCTGGGAAAATATGGACCTAAAGAAAAAAGGTGAAAGTTTAGAAGTTTGAGGGTCCAGCTGAGTACAAGTGGAAAAAAAAAGACAAAACTGGAAGTCAGCAGGAGAAGAAATTTTAAAAATGTTTAAGAGAAATGTTTAACAGAAAGCATATTTAGTGTAGGACACTTAAGAAAAATACAAGAACATACGATTGGCATAGAGGTCTCTTATATTTAAACAGAGGTTCTTAAACTTAAACAGAATTTCTCCCCTCCCTTCTTGCCTCTGTCTTCCCTCTCTACTTTGCTTTCTTGAACAAATAGTGGGGCTAATTCCTGTTTGCCAACTCCTCTTGGTGCATGCAAACTGTGAACACTCACAGAAAACTGATTTAAATGAAGGACAGATGGTAGTACTTGCAACTTCACAGAAAACAAGGTTTCAATTTTTGAGATGGAAATTATGCTTCCCTTTTGCAAACAAATTAAAATTCAGACTTGTGAGTTTAGATAAAGACATTGAAAGCACATACTTTCGGGTGATGGAACCAATTTACTTTGGTCCTGGCTCCCATGACCTATTCAGTGACTTATATACAAAATAATCAAACTGAAAAACTCTATGGCGAGTGTGGGACAACAGTCAACACTGTGCTGGTTGTCATATAGAATAAACAGTCCAATGAGCCACTGGAAGCTTCACTTTTAACCACTGCTTTGACATCCATCAGCTGCAGCCATAATTCTAGTATTATATTATGCGACAGTATGTATATTCTCTTTTTTAGAAACCATATTTTGAATGCCACTGAAATTGATTTCTATACAGCATTAAATTCAGTAACACCTGCAGGTGACCAAAGAACTGTCAATATAAAACAGTAAATTATTAGACTGCATTAATGCAAACACATCATTTACTTGAATAAAAACTGCAATAGTTTTCGGTGCTAGAGTAAATGTCTTGAAACTTCGAGTCCTCCCCAGATTGGAGATCAGATGTAGCTCCCTGCACCCACATGAACACAGGTGCTGTATGTACATATGCGTAGACTGGCCCATCAGAGAGCCCACAGAAAGGACATGCAAGAGGGCTGACATTTACCTACACATGTGTCATGGTTTGCCTCAGAGCCTTCAGGGCAAGTTTTCCTAATAGTCCTTCTAGTCCTGGAGAGAGATGTTCTGCTGTTCCTATACTCTGAGTAGGAGCTGTAGAGATGGGAGTACTGTCTGTAATGCTGTTGAGGTTGATAGTTGTTTCTCACGGGGGAGAACCGAGCAAGGTTATAGCTATTGTACTGAGAGCCATAAGCGGGCAGCCTCTCCAATCCAGCGCAAGATTTCCCGTCCCCTAATAAATGTTGTCCTGGTGGACAGACACACTTGAAGCTGCCGGGGGTGTTGAAGCACTGATATGCACAAGGCTTAGGCATTTGTTCACACTCATTAATGTCTGCTCGTGTGCCACGATACATAAAAAGAGAGAGAGAGAGAAAAAAAAAAACAGACACATACACAAAACACAGGAATAAAGAAATCAGTCTGTAAAACGAACTGAAGACATTAATTATGTCACCCTCCAAAGTCAGGCATTCAGTCATCTCTCAGCTGTGGTGGACTTTTGAGAAAGCTGGAACCATTCAGTTATGAATATACAGGAAGATTTTATGACTGTCCCTAAAGATTGCTCCACATGTACAGTAGAAACATAATGGGTCATATGGACAAATGTGGTCTAGAATCCGGAAAAACTAGAGTTCAAAGCTAATATAGATCTTAATTCTGTTGGTGGAACAGTCACTTTACTAATTTGCATTTAATTATAGTATTGACCACTAGTGTCTCTAAGTTTTCATGCATTCATAAGTCTCAGATACAGGAAGGTTGGTACAACTACAAACATTTTTATTTTCTTTTGTATCTTTTGAATCAATAATTATTAATCAAACC